AAATCCCTACAGATTATTCAAGGAAGTTACACAGGAAGGCTATGATTGGAATTACCATTGTATGTTGTGGCATTTTTAACCTGCTCTTTGACTAAAATCAAAACTTTATAATGATTTTTTAATTAGATACATTACATTATACTTAGTCATTTTTCAGATTTATATCAAACTTTTTGGGATTGTCATTGTTTATGCTTCAGACTCCTTATACTGAAGCAGAACAAAGAAGGTTGGTGGAGTCATAGAAGAGGATAAAGGCTTTAAGCATTAGTGTTCACCCTGCAGGGAGGGGCTGCAAGACTCCTTAGAATCTGAGGTGAGGGGCTGTCCCAAACCATGTTTTGTTTTTTTGTCTATAATGAAGAAACTAACTTTTTTTTTTACAGGTCATTAAACATGCTATCTTTTCTTATATGTATCGTAATGAAACCAACTGGAGTTTCTACTGAAGACGAGAATCCAGCATAACTCTGCTTGCAATTAAATCCTCTTATTGGATATCAGATTATTGTCCTGCTCATTAATGGGGGCACCTGTCCAAAGATGGTGTTGTGCGAGGTCATTGGCCAATTGTATTATGAACAATAAAGCATGTTAACCTTTATTTACCTACCCTGTGCCAGCAACAGCTGACACATTAAAACAATTAAGGAGTTAGGTTGTTAAAGCAGTTGCAGTTAAAGAGAGCTGCCAGACCTAAGCTAGTCTTGTTAGTGTAGTGTGTCAAAAGCACAGGAGGTAAACTGGATTTGTCATGCAAACCTATTCACAGGTGGAAAAACGGGAATGACATGATGGACTTATATATGCACGGCATTTTTATAGCATCCCAGCCACTGACTTTGGTATTTATGTGAGACTCTGTGGATCGGAAATAACAATGCAATCCTAGTCTATGCAGATGAACTGAGATCCATAACATTTAAATTATCTTTAGCCAATTAAGTGCTCTCAGTTATTTATTATTTTAAAAGAAAACTCAAGACCTACCTTTTTAGTAGAGCTTTTATCTGAATCTCATTTCATCTAGTTTTACATTTTACATTTTTGACCTCCTGTGTTTCCTCATTTAGAATTAATGATAGCGTTTCCTCAGTATCTGTTCTTATCTAGTTATTTGACCTTAGTTTTTGGATTGTGGGATAGGGGTGGGGGAGGGAGTCATGTTGTTGCTGTTTGATTTATGTTGATGTAAAGCACTTTGTGATATTTTTTGTATGAAAAGTGCTATACAAATAAAGTTTGATTGATTGATTGATTGATTTGCTGCTACAGCTTATTTTGGGTCTATATGACCATTAATTTCTGCTGACAAATGTTTGCTAACATTAGTAAACCTAAGATGTTGTGTAACCGAAATTACTTGATCAGTAATCAGGACAACCTGCAAAAAAGCCAGATAAGCAGAGCATTTGAATTAAATGGATTGCATCATACAACATGCTTTGCCAATGCAACCATTCAACGTTGGAAGTGCACAGCAAGCAGCACTAGTCCGAAAGATGAGTAAACTCTGCAAAATCCTTCCATTCACTTTGTCTTTGCAGCAGGCCTTTGTTTTAAGGAGATGTTTCTATCAATTATCTATTTAGTTATAAATAAAAAAAAGTTTTTCTGTAATAAGTCAAAAATTCCCATGCCAAACATGAATTGACAAATATAATCAATCTCGCCCTCTTCCTCCAAAAACTCTGCCAGCCCTGCAGTAAAGTGCGCTCCAAATGTTGAAGTATACAGGAGAGTACATGAGGAACATTTAGGGTTTCAACTTTCGTTCATTTAACTTTTCATTGTAAAACAAAGCAGAAGTTGATGTCTCTGTGATTGTATCTGTGTCATAGATATAGGTTTCCTGTCAGCCACTTTTGTCTGGAAGATTTATGGATCAAAGTCCCTTCAAAGCTGCTTAGGAAAACAAGGATGTGTACATGTTAATCCCTCATGAAGGTTCATAAAGCCTCCTGTCACATAAAAGCTGAAAACAAACACACATTGTTCAGTTGGATGTTAGTGTTCAGCTTGATTTTTCTTGGATGTGATTTCACACACACACACACACACACACACACACACACACACACACACACACACACACACACACACACAAACATATGTTAAGTCCAACAATTAATTTCAGAGTCGTGACAGATTCAGATTACAAGTTACCTTGAGGTCAAACTCTTTTGCCTTTGAGTCAGTCAGTCAATCATGTAGTCTAGCAGGCTCTAAAGTGTATTAATGTATTCTCAAAAATTGACAAATTCACTCAGTGATGGTTAGTAAATCTGTCACTTGATGATCTTAATAAATTCATTATTATTGAATTAATTCACAGTACTGTTGTGTAACACATGTGAGCTCAGGCTGACAGCATGTGTCTCTGAATAACAACCATTGGTCAAATATAATGTTTTATTTGTCTCAGATACATTTCCATGTGCATTACTTTGGCATGATTTGCTGACATAAATATTTGAAAAACTTAAAAAACTGCACATAGCTACATTTTCAGGTTTGATAAATGTGTGTCACAACAGTAGTTGTTCTGATATCATACGAAGGATAAGTTTTGTAAAAATTAAAAAAAATGAAAGAGAGAGTAGTGTGGCTCTCTCCAGATGATGTTGAAATTAAAATCAAGAAAACAATCTCTCACAATCACTTTGTCACTGTGCTGTCTGACACCAAAACATCATAATATGGCTCAAATAACTTAATTTCTCCAAATAAACCCCAAAACTATTGCCAAATGTTCAAATACAGTTAGAGGCACAGTGAGTGTTGAAAGCCTCAGCACTTAGAACACTCTTTGTTAAATTTGGATGTTTATTTTGCACAGGTTCAGCTGGCCTCAGACTTATCGGGAATGCAGACAAAACCACCGAACATGTTTTTTTTGGTCACAAGATGCTGTCTGTGGTCCTTTGCCTCACATGAACAGTATCCCTATTGAGAAAGTGATCACATTAAACCATTCTGTCATCACATGTGATAAAAGCCTTTTTTTTAAATTTCATATGAATTATCTTGACGATATTAAATTTATTTTGGTCTTTTTTCTTTAATCATTTTTATGCCAGGAAATGCCTTGTTCCACCATTGGGGTATATGATTTGTAAATAAACTAAGAATTTAGGTCGGCTGAATTCCATTTCTGTTTCTGTCTCGTATTCAGTGCCACTGGGGCATTTAGAGTACAACAGAGCCATTGTTAATGTTAAGTAACACAACAATTGAGAGTAACTAAGACTCTTTACTAAGACACATAAAACTACTTAAAATTGTGACAGTTTGAGGCTCTTCAAGTATGCACCAAATACTTCCACGTGATTATGTCATCTGCCTTAAAATGGAAAACGTTATCGTCACAGAGCTAATCTGCCAATAAATTATGATAAGACTTACTTGGCATCACATTTGCTGGACAACATGAGTCCTGGAGAACTTTTTTAGGTTGAAAAAATAGACTCTAAATTCAAAAATATTTTGACTTTAATCATTTGAATAATATTTTTATTTTAAAACAGAGACAAAAAAGAGTGAAAAGACTCACTGAGCAGCAGAAGGAGCAATGATTGGACAGCTGTGATGTGGGGGTGTTGGAGCTAATTACTGTCATTAATTGCACCTGTGCTTTCCCTGCTACGTTACGATGGAAAACAAACAATTTTATCTTTCACAAAAGAAAGTTGTGGTGATTCTAGAGTCTGTTGGGGCCCGAAGAAAAAACTCACAGGGGGGCCCTCTAACAAGCGTTCATAACCTTGATGTTATGAATAAACTGACACCAATGATGACTTTAATTTACAAACGTAAGTTTCACAGGAAAATTGGGCAACAATTTGAGCACTGTCTGGTTGGGCCCTCTTAGGGAAGTTGCAAAATTTGTGCATTTTAAGCCCCTGCTATGGTTTAAAGTTGGTTAGCCCTTTGGGGCCCCCTACTGGCCTTTGGCCGAAAGCAGTTGCCTGCCTTTCAGGTTGACAAGCAGCACCTCTGAAAAAAAGCTTAAAATTCATGTTCCACATCTAGCTGCTTCAGTTTCAGGTCCTTGATGCTTACTGTCAAACGGGCAAAACAGAGCCATTGGAAATGTTAATAAGAACACATGTGCTTCTTATACAACCACTGTCTGTTTACTGTAAAAAAAAAAAAAAAAAAAAAAAAGGGAAAAAAAGCCTATTTTCTTTTGTGAAATGGGTCACCTGCATCATTTGTGGCAGATTAATGTTACTCCATGTGTGAGATTTTACATCAGCATTTTTTCTTGGTAACGATTGCACCACTGTTTAGGCTACAGTGTCACTCAATTATTGTGTTTTCTTTTCCCTGCTACTACTAAGCATGCTTTTTGACAGTTTATAGCTATTTTTAGGTGTAAATCACTCCATGGTGTCAATATACAGAGATATGTGCTTAATTGTCAAAAAAAAAATCATCATTATTGAAAGAATTTAAGAATCTAAGCTAGGCTAATGTAAGCAGATAGATTACCTGACAGATTCAAACTTGTTACACATTATCAACACAGAGAGGGTCTGACAACTGAGAGCTTCGTCAAGTTATGAACACAATGAAAGCACAGATCGTGCGATGGACCGAAAATAAGAGCTTCACATTATCCCCACAATGTATTTTATACACTGTATTGAACCTGTAGTTCTGTCAATGAGTATGTAACGTAATTGATTCCTGTTGGCACGGAAGATGTAGGTATATCTTTTCTTGTTTGGAGACGAGTTCAGATGATAACGCTACAGCTGATCTGCTCTTTATTTGTGTGCAGGTTTTTGTTTTGTTTTATTTTAATCGGTATAGTGAGTAGTAATTCAAAACAGCTTATGTGTTTTTAAACTGTTTAACATTTTTTATCACGAAAATAATTAGGTTTGGGAGAAAACCCTTTGGTTTATGTTTAATAATGATCGTAAATCCACCCTTACATCGAAACGATCCTCATGTCTTATTTTGATAAGCACAACCGGATGTTATTTCGGCAGCTAGCATCATCTGCTAAGAAAACGGTGTTTTTAAAGGGAAACCAAGGTTGTTGAGGTCTGAGGTGGCTTAGCGGGTTGAAGGTAGGTGTAGTCTCATTGTTGTGCACTAACTGTCTGAGCACTGTGGCTTTTCTTCACCTCTAAACGTCGGTTGTTTAACAGCGTATCACTTAGGTTAGCGGAAATCAAGACGTGGGTAAGTGTCAAGTCAAGACCGCGGGGAAAGTGGGAGCTAACCAGCTAGCTCGGCTGAAGCTAACGCAGCTAACGGGGACCGTGTCCCGGTCTCCCGGTCCCGGAGTGATGTCGCTCCGTTTGTGGGGCTGCTATAGCGTGGATTACATTATACATGCAATTCGGGTTTTACAATAAAACACATTGTCACAGTGGAATCTAGTTCTGCAGGTACAATGGTGAGTATCGTATGAGTGGCAGCGGGGGGTGGTCGTGTTATGGCCCCCTGTACATGAACACAGAGACTGCTTTTGAGGAAGTCAGAGTTGAACCTTCTTCTGAGAGACTGATTTATATTTAAATAAATCTTATAGTCGGTCTACGAGGTGGTAAATGGTGTTACACTGGAACCTTTTTAGTAACTCATTATTTGATCTCCTCTTTAAAGTGTGCTGTAATGTTTGCATTTGTTTGAACATCATGAATCAAATATATTTCAGGTCATTGTGCTTATTATATAAACAGAAGAAGTTTGACTTGACATGTCTGCAGCAGTTTGAAAAAAGAGAAATACAACACAAGACTTCCTTTATAGGTGGGAAGTTAACCTTTTGGTGACTGACAAAAAAAACACACAATGTGGAAACTAATAACGCAGTCCTCTAAAGTTATTTATTCTCCTGTTATGTCGTTTTGATGTGAAGTTTCTTCATTCGAGGTCACTTAAGATCAACACTGTTCTGTTGAAATGCTCTCTGATGCTTTCACTGGAGACAGTAAATAGCCTACTGGTTTTCTCTCTTACTTAAATCCAGACTGATGACTCCCACAGCTGAAAACAGATCTGACCATAATTGTAGCTTTTACTGTCAGTGGTTTTGTAAACCATAATGCATGCTTAACAATGCACATTGTTTATATGAGACCCTAAAGGGACTGTGTTGGGTTGGAAAGGGGGGCTTTGGTGACATTTTCACACCTCCCTCTTTTGCTCCAGATCAGTGATATTCAATCTGACGCTCTCCAGCCACATGTGGCTCATTTGGGACTAGTTGTGGATCTTTTAGGTCCTACTTGGAGAAAAAAAATCCAAAGTAATAATTTAAAAAAAGGGAAACATTGGCAGCAGAAATTATTCTTTGCAAGTCGTGTCACATATTTTAGGAAAGAAAGAGTTTTTTTTTTCAGTGTGGCTCTTGCAGAAATGTTTTTTGGTCAATGTGGCTCTTGAGTCTAACAAGGCTGAGTACCACTGCTCCAGATGGTTATTTGTCTGCAACGTGATGCAGACAATGATGATTGGCTGTTTTGTTTTACTTGTCTTTCTGCAGACATGTTTTGATGTTTTCTTTTATGTCCCCTTCTTGCTTTGATTTGCAAGCTTTACCATCTGGTTTCAACATTGTAAAATAACCTTAACTTACAGTCAGTATTTTGGCCTTTGCTCAGTGTGCCACAATTTAAAGTGCTTCATGAGCCTCTGCAAACACTCAACTGCTGACAGTATACGTTCTGAAGAGGGTACAACTACCATGTACACCGAACCATGTGAGGAAAAATGGCAACACTCAAACGCTGAGAGCAGGCGAGCTACAAGGATGTGTGCAGCAAAGCTGTGTGTGAACGTACCCTTTTGTATCCCTATTATTTGCTTATTATGGAGAAGACCATAGTTCAGGGAAAGCTGTAAAGTCCAGGTTAAAATGATTTATTAACTCTAGAGAAAAGGAGGCTAATAACGCAACAGAAGAATTCTATTTTTATACAATGACAATAAAGAGTCTATCTTATGGGCCCAAGTGTTTGGCCAGCAGCATTGTCCAAACAAAAACTGATCAACAAAAGCTGTTGAAGTTCTGACAAATGTTATGATAAGTGCAAGCTGTGTTTTTTATTGATGTCCACACAGATGGAAGAGCTTGTGTGGCAGAAGGAGGGTGGGAGATTTTATCCTAAAGTGAGGTTAACCTTAAACCAAACAAGACCCTCCTCTTATATAGCCATATGTTGCTATCAATAAATCTATGAATTAATGAACTTGACAAGGAGACTAACACGGATCAGCAGAAGTCAAAGTTTATAGCATATAAGTCTAAATGTTTATAACGCTGCCTTAACTGTTAAGTTTGACCTTTCTTTGGGAACAAGAGCTCCTTTTAATTTGGATTAGCTCAAGACAAGTTCACCTTAGTCCACTGTATATTCCCTCTGAGCAAAGGACATACTTGTAACTGTACACTGTGTAAAGTGATGCAGCCTGTGTTGTTGCTACACCCTTCCCTCCAACACAGAGCTGACCAAATCCTGGCTCTTTCACGAGGGTACACGTTGTCCTGACAATTCTTAATCTCATTTATCTTGCAAGTAAATTATCTCCAGGATGTGTTTGTCTTGTGTGTTCCAGGGCTTGTGTAAACAGTTTTGTCCCTTTTTAAAAAAAATAAAAGCCACAATAAAAAATGGTCAGGATGAAATAGCAGACAGGCTGATTCATCTCAGCCATTTTCAGCCAACAGCAGGTAACTTTTTTTAATTATGCTGAGTCAGAAAGCAAACTTTTATATTATTTACACAATTTCATGCAAGTATTTAACATCATCTTGTTCATTGATGTATGTTTTTAAGTCTTGGATATTGGCCCCAAAACTTGCACAATACTCAAAAAAGATCAAGATATACTTTATTCATCATAGAAAACATAGAGCATTTCATGTAACAATTCTACATGTACATGTAAAAACACCTTCTTGCAGCAGTAACATTGGTGTATTGCACAGCCCCTTGGCACATCCTACATTACCTGTTATTCAGAATATTAACAGACTTTGTCAAAAATGAATGTTTGTAGCAGTTCAGCCTGGTCTGAGGGGACCCTGAATCCTCTTCCAGAGGGTAAAAGCTGAAACTCAGAGTTAAGAATGTGGGTAGGATTACACTATTTGCTGTGCCTGTCTAACAACAGACTGCTCATAGAGTGTTTGGAGAGATCGATGTTTTTTAACACCCATCATTTTAGAAGCAGTCTGCACAAGACGAGTTATCTGTGATTATAACTGAACAGACAAGTGATCGTACCAGGCTGTTATCCGTATTTGATCATGCTTTCACAAACATTGCAGCACACAGGTGTACTTCCTGGTTATGCACGGAGGTGAAATTCTACACGTTTCCACTCAGCCTGTACATTAAAGTTGGAATAATGTCACTGATTATTTAAGTACAACATTTTTTCTAGGCCAGAGTTTAAGAAATGAAACATCTTTCTGAAGAGAGAGTTGGAATTTGTTTTGCAATTCAGGATGTCATTTTTCTAGCTTTCCAGGCAACACTTTTGTGATGGTGGTTAATGAGAAAATACTTTTTCAGTGCCGGGAAAATTTCCTCTCCAATGTAGGTCATGCTTTTATCACTTAAGAAACATCAGTAAACGTAGGGCATTAGTGTCATCTACAGAACTTGAGTTGATCGTAGATGCCTTTGTCTCATCCCGTATTGACTGTTGTAATGCTCTTTCCACTTCACTCAGCATGTCCGCCCTAAATCGTCTCCAGTCAATCCAGAAGCTGCTGCTCGAATACTCACCAGGTCAAACAAACGGTCTCACATCACTCCCATACTGAAATCTCTGCACTGGCTCCCTGTGGCTTAAAGGATTACGTTTTAAATTCTCACCCTCACTTTTAGAGCTCTTCACGGTCAGGCCCCAGAATATTTGACAGAACTCATTCACCCGTATTCACCGACCCGTTAGCTAAGGTCCAACACCCTACACCTGCTGCCTGTCCCACAGACACATTTTAGGACTTGTGGTGAGCGTGTGTTTGAGGCCATAGCACCAATCCTTTAGAATTACCTGCCCATCTTATGTTCTTCTGACTCTGTTGAGTCTTTCCTAAAGCAGCTAAAATTATTTTGTTTAGACAGGCCTAGGGTAATCATGTCCACCCAGTCTACCTGTTGATCTATGTTTTACTGTGCTAACTGTTGTTCCTGGTGATAGCAGGATTTCATAATGTCGGTCCATGAACAACTCGTTTGTTCCTGTTTTTATTACCTTTGTGTTGTTTTTAAATGATGTAAACCACTTTGGGACCTTTGTCTGTGAAACGTGCTATATAAATAAACTTTACTTATCCAGCAGTCCAATAATAGGCCTTTTCCACTAAGTACAACCATCACCAGTTCAACACTTTGATTTGACTTTTGAGCTCAAGAAAAGAAAGTCACAGTGATGACAAGCCATTTCCTACATGTTTATTCCTAGTATACTGTCACCAGGTACAGTATGGATGTGCACGTCAGCTGGCTGTCACCTTCATTCTTTGCGTTTGGTCTTTGTTACTTCATGTTCTTAAAGTAAGCATCGTGTCAAAACTGGATCCACCAACATGCCATACTGTTTGCATCTTAAGTGATTTAACATCAAATAAAAAAATTACTTAAAGTTTTATAAATTCTTTTTTTTTTTTTTTCAGGTTGCTGCTGGTTGCAGGGCCCTGTGGAGCAGAAGAGCTGTGCCATTCCCCCTATTTTTCCCCTTGTGTGTTTCCCTGTGTGTTAGTGACCCCGCACCCCCACCCACCCTCCACCTGACCCCTCCTGTCGTGTTGCCCTTCCTGCCCGAAGCCCCCCTCTCAACCCATGCTTGGGACAAAGCCAGCTCACTGCCAGCCCAATGACTGCCTGGATCGTCCTGCCTGTCAGCCTGTCTGCCTTCTCCATCACAGGAATATGGATAGTGTGAGTTAGAGATTGTGTGTGACAAGTAAACATAATGTGATGGGTCAACAAAGCAGATTTAAAGAGGTTTGTAAATGGGCATCACAAACTATTTGCATGATGAAATTTGCAAACAGGATTGTGTTCATGTGCAAAAATACAACTAGAGATGTCTACTATGACAATCAATTATATATTTAAAAAAATAGACAGCCTTAATTGTCACTATACAATACAACAGAAAAGCATACAGGTATCCACAGCAACAACCAACTTGCATTTATCTCATTTAGTGAATATAATTTTTAGTATTCTACTCAAGCCCAGTTCAATCTTCTCTCTTGTTAACTTGTGTCATCAGTATTCAGAGTCCCCTGTTCAACCATGTCTTGCTTTAATCATGGTGTGTTCTTCACCCCACAGGTACGCCATGGCTGTGATGAATCACCACGTTTGTCCTGTGGAGAACTGGTGAGTTATTTTCCTCTTTTTTTTTATCAGATGATATGGGCTTAACACTCTAGTAACCCTCATTTAATTATATGATATCTGAACACTTCCAAAGTTGCCAAAAGGGAATGAACTGAACTCATTGTGTCACTGTCTCAGGTCTTACAATGTAACGTGCACAGAGGAGCTGCCCCGACCAGGCTTCCCAAAGACATGCTGCACCATCCAGGACATCCCCCTCATCAGGTCTCTTGTTCTACTTCTCCCCCTATCTGCACGTCCAGGCTTTTTTTTTCAACAATTTAGTGTCAGCATAGGCTCAGAGGCATGAATTAGCACCTTGTTATGTTGTGGCTCTGTGACAGTCATTAACCCACGCGTTGCATAAATTGCATTTGTTTAATCTGCTAATAAGCCTCTAACCATGGGCAAGTACAAAAGCCCTCTTGTAAAAAGGCATCATGAGGCTTGTAGGCTTTTCTGCACTGAAGGTAGACGAGAGTGCCCGTCAAAATGTAAACACTACAGGGTTAGGGTCAAAGTTCCTTTACATTCTTGAATTAGGAAATGTAGTTACATATGTCTCAACAGTGGCTTTGTTATTGTTCTACATGGATTGGAAAACTTGTACATAAATTGTGGTCTTGCATACAGTAAGATATGTAGAATACTCAAGCTGTTTTGTCTCCATGTTTTCCAGTAAATGTGGCTCCTTCCCTCCTGAAAGTTGCCTGTTCAGCCTCATTGGCAACGTTGGAGCCTTCATGGGTAAGATCTTATTCTAACACAAAGACAGCTAGATACCTTAAAACACACTCCACAACACAGAACGACACGACTAAACTTAACTTTTAGTGAGCTCTTGATCGCTACTCGTCATGAAGCTGTCTGTTTATGAGTTGCTGGGATGCTGCTCAGCATTATTTTGTTTGGATACCATTATCTCCCTCCGTTATTACCTTTTCCAATGCCTGTTGGAAGCATTTCCATCTTAAGAGAGAAGGTCGATGCCTCTTTTCTCTGGCTGACTAGAGGTCAGCCGGTCTCCCTTCTGTTGAAAGATAATTGGACTGATCCTATTGTCAGACTTTTGGAGACTTCACCATTAACTTAAAGATAATGTCATCAACTTGTCTTGATGAGGATAAGGAGAGGTGACATCATAGTTATATTAGACAAGTTATACCTTTTTTCTTTTAACCCTCAAATAATTTATCTTAATCATGTAGTGTTTATTATGATGTGTGCTGCTGCCCTATTGGCCAGGTCACCCTTTTGAAAGAGATCTTTATTGCAATGGGTTAATTACCTGGTTAAATAATGGTTAAATAAAAAAAATAATGTCTTTATAAATGTCATAAAATCTGATAAGATTTGAAGTTAGAGGCATTTAAATCTGTACATGCATGAAAACTGTTGCTGTAAAAAAAAAAAAAATTAAAGTTGATACTTTTTTAAAAAACTCTCTCTGACGGTTGAGTGTTACTCTCTTAAAGTATTCATTTTATTATCTATCCCCTTAGTAACCATTGACGACACACAACCAGATATTGTATGAAAAATATGAAGCTGCTTGAAGTCTATATCCATCGTAGCTTAGCATAAAAACTAGCTACATCCACCCTGGCTGTATCAAACTGTTAAAGTTTTCCAACTAGTTTTCTGAAGCTCATTGATAAAAAAGATTGTTATACAGAAAATGCTGACTGTAACTTTAGCTCGACCAGTGACTTAAAGAGTCTTGACTCTTGACATGTCTGCAAGGTTGCTAGGCAACCATTGAAGACTCATGACAGGTTCTATGTGCCAAAGGAGTTTAACTACACCCACTGTATGAATTTAAGAGTGGTGGAAAACTTCTTATCTATCTCTCAGTAAGGAAGGTATATTTCCCAAATAAGGAACTATGCCTTACATATGTGCATATTTGATATCCACAAAATGAAGTTTGCTGAATATCTGATTTAATCTGAGTTAGCCAAAGATTGCAGCATTTAGCTCTTTAAAAGAAAAGCCATTATTCTGCATGAGGTGTCTGTCTGCTCCCTTTGTGTGTTTTATTAATCCTCCATGGAGCCTACAGACGTCAGCCGCTAGCCTTGAAGAGAAACAGAGGGGCCTGAAATAGCCTGTGCTCTCTAATCAATAATGAATGCAGCTTTCCTTCCACTTCCCCCCTCTGTCCTCTCCTCCTGTATGTACCCTCCATGACCCTCCTCCTCCCCCTGCCTTGTTTATTACCACTCAGCTCACCCTTGCATTATGTCTAAACTTAATTTCTGTCCTTAAGTCCTTGTTTTCTCAGCGTCTTTCTTTCTGTTTGTCCCCAACTTGTGTATAAGCTGTCAGGATGCTTTAACTGGTGGTTAGTAATGTTAAACTATTTTTACTGTTTAATTGCCATGGTGTTGGTACTGTAACAGGCACAAAATTGCACGATTATATGTAACCAGGAACGGAAGCAGTAAAAAAAAAAAAAAAAAAACCCTATAAAACACTCAAAAGAGTGTAATGTCAGCAGGATGGCTGAAGTCACATGACACGTCACCAGCTACAGATAAAAACTACAAAAACTAGCAAGAATGTTTAAACAACTATTTTGAATCTAACAACTGAAAGAGAAAAATGTCTGCAAAAACTTAAGATTTCTGATTTCCCCATTCAGTATTGAAACAGAAAGATAGATATATCAATAGCTGCAACCTTAGTGTTCACTCAACCTCCTGTGTCCTGCAGTGGTGATGGTGTGCCTTCTGCGCTACGCCCAGGTCATCGAACACAGCCATCGATGTTGGGTGAACACCAGCGCTCTGGTGTCCGGCTGCACCAACGCTGTGGGTCTGGTCATGGTGGGAAACTTCCAGGTAACATCTGTTAACACAAACACTCTTGATTATGATATTGGAAACTCTCTCTTGTTTCTTTTTTTTACTTCAGTGGATTCAAAACGAACTCGTCTGACTGAAGCGTCTGTTTTGCAGGTTGATCACGCCAAATCTCTCCATTACGTTGGTGCTGGGGTGGCATTTCCAGCAGGGCTGCTGTTTGTGTGCCTGCAGTGTGTGCTCACCTACCGGGTGGCAGTGACCGCCCTTGACTACTGGATGGCCCACTTCCGAGTTGCTCTGGCACTGGGTGCCATGATCTCCCTCGTCCTCAGTATCCTTTACTTACTACCCCCTTTGTTGTGCAGAGACAGAAGCTTTGTGCTTTTGTTCTTTGTTCTTTGTCTTCTAGCCGCTCAAGGTTTGTTTTGATCAAATACGTCATCATTTTAATTACCTTTCACTATTTGGCCTTTTACATGAGGCCTTTTACATTTTTTAATGCGGTATAATATAAAACACAGGTGTGACTTACAGTCTTAATAATGGCTGCCTCACTTTTACGTCGCCTAATTTAGTGTCCTTATTCTAGGCCATTGTTACGCTTTTCTGTTTTATTTGAAACGCCCAAATATCTACTGTAAAAAAGCTCTATATGACTTCAGTCAAATCATTAAATCCCAGTCAGAGCAGGAGATGTCAAGGTTAATCATTACATGTAGATCAAACCAGTGAGGCTGCTGGTTTTCCTCTCCTTATCCCTCTGCTATCCTTGACGCACATCTGTTCACATCAACATGTTGGTCCTTCAACCTTGAGACAGAACATCAAGTCCATAATAACATATGTCTGTGCTCACTTTCTCTCCCCCTCTTTACTCGTTTTATTCCGGCCTCTCTTCCTCACCTGCCTCTTCATAATGTCCTGCCAGAAACACGACAGTCTGACGGGGTTTGAAACTGTCAGCCACTTTGATTCCTCTGAGAAAATAACAGTCTGTTTTCCAATCAGCAGAGGACTCTTCATGAGCAATGTTCACTCCACGACTATAATGTTCTCCTATCAGGAGGCAGTTAGTGGGTTCATGTGTTTCCTCCACCACTCATTAATTTAGTTCTTTTTGTCATCTCATTGTCTGTTTGGAGACAGAGATTAAAATCTATCCATTTTAATGATCCCACAAGAACAGCCAATCCCCTGTGAATATACAGTTACACATTCATTGACTACATGCTATTTTTAATTTCATCTTTTTAATGGACAAAGCCAAAGTTGTTTATATTCATCCCTGATCATGTTGTGAATTCACATCTGGGCCCCTGAGGTTAAGCTGCTTGTCACATATCTCATGTCATTATTTAAGGAATTTGCTTCAGGCTATAACCACGTTTTATTCTCTTTTTCAAATGAAGTTTAAAAAACAAAAAGGAGCTCTGTTTGTTGAGATGTTTGTCCTCCTTAACTTCTCCTCCCCCAAGGTGGCATCTTCTTCATCCACGAGAGCTTCGTCCTGCAGCACGTCGCTGCCATCTGCGAGTGGGTCTTCACCGTGGACATCCTGGTCTTCTACGGCACCTTCACCTACGAGTTCGGCACCGTCACCAGTGAAACCATAATGACCTGCTTGCAGCAGAGCCACCACCTCGGCTCGGGGGTCATCATCGGCCCCAGGGCGCGGGGCTCGGCGATGGGCAGTGCGACCAAGGGCCTCAAATCCCCCGGGGGAAGCAGCACATCCACACATCTCAACTGTACCCCTGAGAGCATAGCCATGTTGTAGCTCTGCAGCAGCCCCACGTCTCCCTGCAGAGGGGCTTCAGGGGCTTCCCTCGGACGGAGAGACGGCAGAGGCAGCATGTGGAGAGAGAAAGAAGTTCTTGTATCTTTATCCATCGAACCAACACCAATCTATAACACTATCTTCTATTTTTATTCCAAACATTGGTGAAAGCCCCCTACAGTCAAAGTCACCGTCTCTGCAGCGATGTTGACAGGAGGGCTGAATGTGTGGAGCCAGTCTGAGTACTGGAACCATGAATGTTTTCCAAGATGGCTGTTTATTGGGCAGTTCTTCACTAGAGTAGTTCTTTTATAAATGTGCATCACCAGTATGCCCACAAAGTCCCCCCCCCCCCCTCCGACACTCTCATGATCGACCCGATGCTTTGTGGCCCACCTGTTCTGGCCTTTTTCATATCTCTGCACGGCACACTTTTTGAACGAGAGAAAAACAATTCATGTTTCAGTTTGCATAGTGAGTAGAAAATATTGAATGTTTGAGAAGTGACTAGTCAACAGTTATGTATGTATGTTTGCCAGGCTTTAAGCACATGGCCTTTTTATTCAATTGAGCCCAAATTATCCAGAAACAAATCATTTCTGCTGGCTGTTTAATTTGGCTGCACAGACAAATTACGATGGTATTTAACACAAATATTTACACGCGTTTCATGAGCCATTTTCATTCTTGAGGTCACAATCCATTATACTGACACAAGAGAGCAGAAAGGCTGCTCAAAATGTTATCGACCTGTTCGACTGTAAAATGCAAACATCATCAAGTGCATCACAATCACATTTGAAGTGAGAGTCTGTGAAGTCCTATCATGACTTTCTCCAAAAGATGCTCCTTTGATTACTGTCTTTTCACATTTCATGCTACCTTACCTTCATTCATGTCCGGTGCAATAATTAACATCAATCACCTGATGATTCGAGCTCCCTGGGAGGGAAATATGCCTTTTTTCAGTGAGTTGGAGTTGAACACAGGGATTTTGTTTTTTAAGAAGTGACAAAGATATTTGAAGTGACCTACAGCTTATAGAAAAACTCAAATCTGACAATATTACAGACCTTGTGTACACACTGATTTAATTCCAGGCTGGACCGCTGGAAGCCTTATTTGAGTTTTAAGAATCTTTTTTTGTTAAATATAATGTTACGTGAAGCCTTTTTAGTTGTTTTAGGGGGCGTTTTGTCTGCAGGAGAGACCTGAGAGGTGAATATGGTGCCTGTTGAATTCGTGCCATAAACCTCATGGTGTCAGAAAAGTGTTACAGATACTGCTAAAGGTTTATTTGATAATGAGGTTTTGTTTTTATTTCCTGTTGCTATTTTCTCCTGAAGTGATAACCACATTTGCAGACTGCCACAAACAAGCACTGCTCAAAGTAAAACTGACAAATGCCAACACGTTCACGTTACACAGATTACGCTTCTGTTCAGGTTTGTCTATTGAACTGTTTGAGAGGTTTGCTTTATTACCCACAAATACACTCACAGCGCTCTGTCATCTGTGTAGTGTTGATCCATCTTTGAACAGTCTAACCACTGGATGCCAGCAATATGTGTTTTGAAAAAGGTCACATCACCTACCTCTTTATCTTTTGTGGGTCTGATGTTTTGAGGATTAAGTTTGAGTTCCAGCACGCTTTCCATCTTACAATGGTTTTAAGAAGAGTATTTCATGTGTCGGTGTTTCAGCAGTCTTACAAAGATCTGTTAGTCAGGAGCTGCTGTTATAAAAGATGTGTAATCATGTTTCAGGTCACTTTTCTTTCCTTTTGTGCAAATGTTTTATCTACCTTTTTCTTTCTGGGACTGCAGCAATTCTGATCCTGCCAAAAACAAAGAGTGGAATCCACTGGAGTGTTGTTGGTTTTCTGTCTGTCAGCAGTAGGTGTATGAATCCGTATGAGTGCACTGTTTTAGCCTTATCCCTTCTCCTGTGACAGGGGAACAGTTCCTTTTTTTGTTTTCTATGATTTTTGTGTTCAGCTGTAGCCTATTTCACCAAACTGTAATTATGTCACAAGAAGTGACTACAACCGGCAGCTTGTATGACCCTCACATCAGGGTTTGGATCTATTCTGTAACGGCATCTACTTCATAACACCATGCTCACAGGCCAAACGTTCAAGGTGTTTTCTTTTTGTTCCGTCAGTATATACCACATATGGTATCTCTGTTAGTGGGAGAAAGGCTGCCTGACATGTACAAGTCTTGAACTCCAGTTACAACACAGAAACAATTATGTATTAGTCTCATTTCCTGGTTTGAAAAAAATCTGTAAGAGAATTGTTACGGAAGAGTCCGAGAAATCCCCCAAAAACAAGTCCACACAGATGATTTTGTTTCCTTTTATAAAGTCTGTAAATATGTATGATTTGTCTATCATTTAGGTATTTTCATTTGACAGAGATTTATATTCAAATATGAAATAAAAAAGATAAATTATTAGCAGAAGTATTGCATGGTTTGTCATTTAAGCCCAGAAATTACATTTGATTTGTAAAACAAATTTATCAGGCCGCTGCTGCATAAAACAAATGACATCATCGTATACAGAGTCAGGAAATATGAGCACCAGCAGCCTGAAACTTTGGCTAACAGCCTAGGAGTGGTTGATCATATAAAAACAAGATCTATTTATTAGCAAGCAGATATAGAAACAATTTTCAGCAGATCAGAAGACAAATAATGGCTCACTGTAAACATGAATACAAAGAAAACGGCTGGTTAAAAATCCTGGTCAGTCTGTGCCGTGTCAGCACAGCTGCAGGTCCAATGTGAGTGTGAACAGAACGTGGAGCAGAAGCAAACATGAGGAGCTGTAATGTCATTTACAAGAATCCAAACCACTTCAGAGCAGACTGATTTAGTCACAAACTGTTCCTGCGTTTCTGCCAGAGAAGAGAAACGTCTTCCTCAAACATCAAAACATCACGGGATGAGTTGAGGGGAAATTCCAACTTCACAATTTAATCAGCATGAGGAGAAAGAGTTAAATGTTTTCTAAGGCCTCTAGAGAAGTTGTTTTTTATACAAGAGAATCCTTCAAGCTGTGGCCTTAAAGTTATAGGACGCCTAGATTAACATCTAAACATAACTGCATGATAATAAGCGTACAAGTCAGCATGTTTGGAGTTAAAGCCATGCTTTGGAACAAAAATAAGGATAGCGCATCGTCTGCTGATTTGAACAACTCTCTGACAAGCACCTAGAATCTATGAAGGGAACATTTGTAATACTACAGGAATGGAGGACAAATATTATTATGACAAGAACAACTCAACATTTCCTGAGAAATACACAGAACTGAAATGTTTCAGCACATTATGTTACCTTACAAATGGAAAAAAACTAAAACATTCTCAATCGTAAAACAATTTAAACGTGACAATGAGCAAGTCGTTCTGCTGCGTTCACACCGTGTCAATGAATGGAAAAAGGAGGAAACAAGTTCAACAGGGTTACTTATCATACAAAGATCTGCTGCAAAATATTACGTAAATATATTGCATTATGAATGTGTAATACTGGGTTTTATGTACACCAATTTCTTGATAGATTTTATAAATATATTGATAGATTTTGTAGATGTCACTTGTTTAAATTCTAGTATCAAAACTACAAATGTGAAGCTGATATTGGATGTTTTTTCCCCCCCCTTCTTGAAATGACATTGTGTAGAAAATAGCAAAATGGCAGCATTATATATATCCTGAAGCTTTCTTTTATTTTGTAAAATTGTACCTAACTACAAACTTCTAGCACAGAACTGTCCCGTCATGTATACATGGCTCCATGAAGGTCTTCTAGTCGGTGCTCTGCCTGCTTCCTTCTCTCCTGCAGGACAGGAAAAGAAAATCTATTCAGCGAGAGTCTGCTGCCATATTATACGCATGTTAGAAGATGATGATCATTTGAACCATCATTCAAAGTGTAATCACACACTCACCTTGTCTTTTTTAAACTCCTCATACTCTGGATTGTCAGTCGGCAGTTCAAGTCGGCAGAGAGGACACGAGTTGGTCTATGATTGCGAAAACATTCAAAGAGAATTCTCAGTAGCTACTCAAACGTTTCCATTACATGTGCTTTACAAAGTGAACGTCTGAATTACATGTATTTAAAGGTTAACTAATCTTTACCTTGCCCAACCAGGGCAGTATACATCCTGAGTGGAAAAGGTGTTTGCAGGGCATTTCTCGAACCGTTTCTTGCTCCTCAAACTCCAGTAGACACACGGGACACTTGAGACCTTTGTCTGGGAGAACAAACAAAAAACATTTAATCCTCCAGCTATTACTAATCAAAGAAATATCTTAATTATATTATTTTCCTGCATCAGTATGTATCATATGTCTCACACTCAAATCCAAGCACAAGTAAAGAGAAAACTACCCTCCTTCAGCCGAACTACAAGTTGTTCAAGCATTGCTGTTAAAGCATGATACCTCCCTCTGTGACTGTCAGTGCCTTCCTCTATATCTGTAACAGTCTAGCTGACCAAAACACCTGAATGTGTAACACGTTAAATTCTACTGAAGGTGAAGTCTGTCACCTGCTTGCTCTGGAGAAATGACGACCAATGTGAGGGTCTGAACAGCTGCTTTGGCAGCCGGAGGAGGAAGCCGCTGGTCCCAGTCAGACAAGTCAAAGGCTCCAGAGTCAATCAGGTCCAAGCCCTGCATTAAAGACCTTTAAGGAGAGCAGCAGTCAGTCAGAGCACTCTGCATCATTTATTCATGTTAAAGCATCATAATGTGCAGGTGCTCGGCCTCACCTGGCCAGCTCGAGGAGTGCATTCTGACGGTACTGCTCCTCAGGGTTGGTGGGCTCACAGTCGTGTTCATCAAAGTAGGAGGCCATTGTTGTGCAGAAAACGTTCAAGTCCTCTTTGCATTAAAACAGCACACGGATAACTGAGGGTCACCTTTTTATCAAAAACATATTTACATTCACAGCTGATATTTAGTTTAAGATGTATTACAACAACTGTATTATTACTGATAAGAGAACAAACATCGTTTTAATGTCACTGCAGGACATTCAAATGTGTCAAACATCAGTGTACAGGTGTGACTCTCAATATATTGGCTTTTTTTATTTATACAATACTACAATTTAATATAACTTCCAAAAGCTAATCTATAGTTTATCTAATAATAAAAACAACTTCATTAATATAATAAAGAAAGGATTGTTTCCACCGAACTATAAAGTTTGATCAGTAAGAAAGAATTAAACATTATTAAACATTATTAAACATTATCAAACATTAGAAACGTGACTTCTGACTGTAGTAAATGTGACATATTGTAAATGTTTGCAGTAGATAAATGTTCTGACACAAATAAGTTATTACTGACATTTGTATTGTTATTACAGAGACGTGACCAAAGCTAAAGTCTAACGTGGGTAATATTTAATAGACCTATAAGGAGAATCATTTACAAACAAATGATATTCAGACTGAGGAAAAAATACACTTACCTGAAACGTTAGCAACAAAAACAAACAAGTCATTCTTCCGGGTATGACAACAATAAACATGTGGGATTTGGCCAATCACAAAGTGGAACCACATTACATTTCTTCTTCTTCTTTTTAAAATCCCGGAGGTTCACAAACAATAAGGCATTACTGCCACCATGTGGTGTGAGGCGTGTACTGCCTGTGAAAATCTATGGACTCCTCTTGATCAAAACATCTGCCTAGTGCCTTCATGACTCTGCTGAATGACCTTCTATACAAACAGATGATTAGTCCCCAAGGACAACATAAAGGTCAAGGTTTCCATGTACAAACTTACACTTAATCATTAAAAATCATACATTTTTTCAACTAGATGCTGAGACTTATTTACTTTTGGAAGTTTGAATGCCAAGATGATAACTTGCTTTCTACTTATCGCTATAGTGAATAAATTCAAAATAAACTGGTTAATCTTTGAGAAATAAGAGAATTAAGGAGGTAATATATGGTTGCTTTTGATCCAAGAGGTTTCTTGGAGTGTAAATCTAATGCAGGGAGTGAAGGAAGTATCCCAAATGAAACACCTTGAAAACATTTGGATACCAAAACAGTATTTATTGGCATTATCAGACTAGAGGTGAGGACTCCCACTTCATAATTATTGACATTCGTAGTGAAAAGAAAAAAATAATTGAACAGACACAAAATCAATGAAAAGAAGGTATGGCTTTGGTTAAATAACACTCTACTGATTGATTTGAATAAACAACTGTAACTCTTAAATAGAGTGAGAAGAGATTTAAGGCTCTACAATTCCCTGAAAACGACAAAAGGCCCAACATCTCTGCTGCATGTGATCCTTGACCATTTACAGACCCCACCTGTTTCTAATACAGTAGACACTACGCAGACGCTGAGGGTCATCTTAGTCCTACCATTTCTTCTAACAGACCTCCAGGCTTTTATTTTTCAGTGGACTCACAGAATTATAATATGAAAACAAAACTGGACTATTGACCTGTTGCAAGTATTTAGCTGAATTTGCCAGTGTTACCAGCTGAATCAAGAGCAAGGACAGCCTGCTGATAATTAAAGACAAAGGTGTTAATCCACAGTTAAAGTAACATGACAGAGGTGTTTGTAATGTCACAGCAAATTCTATGTATTTTCTTGCATTATGTACTTATTTCACAAATAACAAACATTCATCAGCTTCTCAATACAGTAAGGACACTGAACAAAGTGTCTTTTCTCTGCCTTTCAACCTGCCGCCTCCCCCTCTTTGAATAAGTGGTTATTAAACGCACATAGCTGCATAGGATATTTACAAAAGACTTCTCAGACACAGTGATTACAGTGTAAAAATAAACAACATACTCCCAGTTTCTTTATGTAGTTCCACTTCACTGTATGAGAGAAAAATCTGTCATCAAATTGTTTCTCTTTTCTTCTCTGAAAAGATGAGGAATGATTTGGCAGCAAAAACATGAGATGTGTTAAAACGTGTGTTACTGAGATCGAACACTGCAGCTCATGGTGGCTCGCTTCAAAGTGAACTTCATTGACAGTCACAGTAAAAGATTTACCAATGCATGGTTTGACTTTGGCTTCAAAACAGGTGTACGTGAGACTCTTCCTTTCATAAACTCTGTTAGGTTGATTCACTTATAAAAGAAACTCAGCGTGAAAACAATCTGATACAAACACTTAAAAAAATCAGTTTTTTTCAGACTGACTGAACGACTGCTGCTGTAAATGTCTAAAGACATTACAATCAATTTCACACAGACAAAGTAATCTACACAGCCATTTCCAGTCGATGCTAAAGTGTTATGATGGCCAACTTCATGCTATGAAACAAAAACACTCATCTGTTGTAATAACATGATGTTTAAAAAAGCATCAGTCACCTGCTCCTTGCTAAAGTTTCCTGATCTTCACACTCCCCTACGGTTTAAAATGAGAGACGCTCAACCAGTGAGCAACAATGAAAAACATGCAGAGTATTTCCTGGAGATCTACAGTGTTCAGTAAGATTTCACCATCTTACCAGAAAAAAATAACATTGAAGATTTGAAAGCACATTGTTGAGAGATTTACAGAAAAGACAAGATTCAACACAGGATTTTAAAAAATGACTTCGATGCATCAGTGTTGATCTGAAAACCTTGTTGATGTCACCATGTGACCGTTTCGTACATTTTCTTGAGCTCATGATCATAACTGTCCTTTAAAAGCGGAGAAATATCTGCATCAAACACGACCCATTCAAAGCCTGTAAGAGCTTCAATGATGTAGACCTGTCTGTAAGTTTTAGTCTGACAGAGCGCTGGCTTTAACCACATGCACATACCTGATCCATACACACTTCCAATGCCCTCATCAGAACAGACACAACCTTCTTGAATCCCATCCCCTCACTATCTGTATTTAAATGCTGAAGACACAGACCCCACACATTGCGTGTTAAATGCGCTCACTCTCTAACTGAACAGTTTGATGAAGCAGCCGTGGCAGTACGGTTTGTCGTTCTGTTCTTTAAAGGTGCCTTTGTTGAGCTGTTTCAGGCAGAAGGCACACACAAAGTGCTCTGGGTGGAACTTCTTGGACATGGCTGTGATGCAGCGTCCCGTGATGGGCTTCTGACAGCCGGAGCAGAGGGAGCCTCGGCGTTCGTGGTAGTGCACCTCACAGTAAGGCTGGCCGTCGTGCTCAAAGAAACTTCCGTTCACAAATGGTGTGAAACACTCCTGTTAAAGAAGAGAGGCATGAGGAGAGGAGGTTGATGTTATTCTTCTGCTCTTTTTCTTATAAAATGTTCATTTAGGCACCAGGAGAACTCGGGGAGAAATAAGGAAAGTGTTGTGCAGCAAATCTGAGATAAAGAAACTAATTCTACAAGTGACTGCAAAACTCAAACTACTCTGCAGAGCAAACAGGGTTCAAGTGGTCTGGTGCAAGTACATATACACTTCTATATATGCAAAGTTGTCTCATGGTGAAAAAGTCAAATTCATTATCAACAGCCCTAACAGCCTCACACAGTGAAAGTGAAATTATTTCTGAAATTTGATGGTAATAAATGCAGTAGAAAGGGTGTCACCTTTGTGTGACCTTAAAAATCCAAAACTAAATAAGGTCTGTAAATAACAGTTTGATCATATAATCATGTTAAAGGTCTGAGGCTGGGATCATAGAGCCCTTTTCCAGATTTGAGGAGTCGTTCTGGTGCCATCACCTTTTGCTCAAAAAGGCTTCCAAATAAAGTAAAACACATCGCTGTCTCCTCTCCCAGCTCATCAGCTACATGTGGATGGCACTGAACACCGTCAGTAAGAGAGCAGGAGAGAACCAAATCCAGAACAGTAAATAGCCCTGCTGAGAAACTTTACGCTATAGAATCGTTAGTGCAATAAAACCTTTTGAATAGGAACTTGAGACTAAATAAGATGACGCACGACTCATGATGCACCTCAATCCACCCTTTGTGAATTAATTCATACACAAAATAAAACATGTAATCATGGCAGAACTAAAACATACTGACCCTGCAAACAAAACACTCAGGATGCCAGAGGCTGCTCAGTGCTGAGATGTAGTTCTCTAAAATGGCTCTGGCACAGCCTCCACATTTTGGTGCAAACATGTCAAAGTAATCCTTCCTGCAGTAAGCCTTTCCATCCTTTTCATGAAAACCTACAGGAGAATTAAAGCGGCAGATTTTAATAGAAGATGCAAACATTAAACTCTAGTTTGTAGTAGAGTATTTGTACTTGTGATCATTTTAATACCTTCAGGGCCAAAGAAGGATCCACACTGAGCACAGAAGAAGTGCTCAGGATGCCAGGTCCTATCCAGCGCCGTCACGACTTTCTAAGCACACACAGTGGACAACGTTTATTATAGACTGACTGTAACTAACAAACAGATCAACACATGCATGTAAACAGTGGTGACTCACATCCAGGATGGGTCCGTTGCAGTAGTAGCACCTCGGGGAGAAGAGGTTGTGGTAATCTTTCTCACAGTATGGCTGACCTTCACGCTCAAAGAAGTTTCTGGAGCCGATCTCCTCCTGACAGTGCGTGCACACAAAGTGTTCGGGGTGCCATGTGCGGCCCATGGCAGTCACCACCTACACAGACAGAAAAGAGGAATGCAGCATGTGTACAGCACAAATAATCATTTGATAATAAGCATAGATGATATAATCTAAACTACAGCAGCTCACCTGTCCTACAATGGGCTTACAGCAGGCACCACACACTCCTTTGGCGACCGTCTGCACACCCAGCTTGTTGAGGTCCGACTGCAGGCTGCCGAGCATGTTGTCCAGCTTGTTGACCTGAGTCGGAGGACCACCAGGAACCCCACCCTTTCCTTGGGCCATAATCTGAAATTTTTACATTTAAAAAACAGTCATAAATAAACAAATTTAACCCAGTTTGAAAAATCGAATACGGGTTTACTTTTAAGTATAAAAAAAAGTTATGTGTCAGAAGTGTGACAAACAGAAGGGAAGAGACGTGTTTCATGCCTGCATTGGAGGGAAGATTGGGTCATACTCTGTTTGGCAGCCTACAGACACCAGGACTTTAGGTGGAACTTGTGTCTCTGGCTCTGCTGGTGGAGGCTGGATGGGGGTTTTAAAAACAGGGGGAGGGGGCTCTGGTTTGGGAGCAGGAGGTTCCTGAACTGGGGAAGGTGAAGGTGAGGATTTGACAATATGCCGGGGGCAGCAGGGACTGGTTCCGGGATGCGCTGCGGTTGTGGAGGTGCAGAGGGAGGTGGAGGAGGAAGTGGTGGGGGTGTAGGGACAGGGGCTTGCCGTACAGGGACGGGTCGCTTTGGTTCTTCTACAATAGGAGGGCGACGAGGGGCAGGGGGAGAGGGAGGTGGGAGCACCTTTCTCACAGGGACAGGGGAGTCAGGGGGAATAATGATCTGAAGGAGAAGAGAGACAAGAACAAGAGAAAAAAGGAACAAGAGAGGAAAAGGTGTAGAAAACTGAAGGTGAAATTGATATATATTAGGGAAACTGTTGGGCACACAGCATCCAACCTTCTCGACCTCACTGTTGACCCCTTCAGGACGGAAACGCTGGGGTTTGGATGTGACAACGACGCCCTCCGTCAGCCAGTCATCAGACTGTTTACGCCGCCGCTCCGACCGGCCGATCCCAAACTTGCCCTGAAGCTCCTCTATGAGGCGGTCCTGAGAAGTGTTCTTGTTTACGATGACCGGTCCCATCTTCCTGCGCAGGTGACCGTCTCTGAACATGGGGTGCACGTTGGGAGTCTCCTTTGTGCGCCTAATCACTGATTTTATCTAAGAGGGAAGGGTGAGCACCTTGATATATGTCCACTGACACAAAACAAAGCTAAAGCAGGGGAGCAGATGAGTTATCATAATAAAAGGTCTTTAAATCTCCAACAGGCCAGGGTGCAGTGGTCAGTGGGCTCAGAGTCACACACATGCTTTGGTTAGATGCCTTTAAAACTCAGACACATCTTTTGCTCCCCCACAGAACTCTCTGAAATCAATTTCACAATGCAGGCTGCATTTGGTTCTTCTCATAATAATGGTGCAACAGTTTGCTAAATATCCCCACAACCAATCCGTGAGTACAAAGTGAGGAAGTCCTTTATTAGAAAGTACCACTTCCTTTCTTGATAAGCCTTTACACAACAAACTTCTGTTTGACAAAAGGTTATTCCCAGACAGGATTTATTTCATCATTTTGTTGTGTTTTTCTGTAGTTTTTTTCCCCCTGTCATAGCGCTTTTGAGTTTCTCGAAAAGCGCTATAGATAACCAACTTATTATTATTATCTTTACTAATGCAAAGCTGAACCACAGATATATATTTTTTTAATTAAAGTTCCTGCCCAGTTACATGGATATCAGGGCTGCACAGTGTAATAAGGACTCTATGGCTCAATAGAAGAGCTACAGTCATTTGTCTAACTCTAAAAAGTTAAAATGCTACAATTTGACAAAAAGAAAAAAAGGTGGCCGATTGATTGATTAATTGTTTCAGATCTACTTCACAAGTTTAAGGATTTATTATATATTAATAATTTTATAATACAAAGGACTCCCTTTTCTATCTAAGAACAATATTGTGCTGGCAAACGTTTTCAGTTATAAAAAAAGACAAATTCTTTATAGCAGAAGCTAGTGAGTGTCGAAGCATCAGTGTCATTAGCACGTGCAAATAAAAAAATAATGAAGCACAACGTGAGCAAAAACAAGCTCATCTCATGTCAGGCAGGAGTGGCGATGCATACGTGTCCGGATGCAGACACTCGGTCTATATTGGGAGTCTGCAGCATGGGCAGGTCCAGGGCCACGTCAGGGGTCCCGGGGCAAGAGGATGGGGTCATGGACTCATCCATCCAGCTGGCCTCTGTCAGCGGGGTCATGCTGCCATCTGTGTAAGGCCTCTCCGTGTATGGCGTCATGGTGCCATCAAATCCGTCATGGAAGGACATGGACAGCTCCTCATCCGCCCAGTCTAGATCCCCATTCCCGTCGGTGCCTCCGTCCACAGAGCCGTCTGTGATGGTGTTGGTGGCGCTAGTGAAGGTGTCGGGCTGCACGCTGTTTCTGTCCATGGGCAGGATGAGCTCCTCCTGCACATCCTGCATGCAGCTGCTCAGACACGGAGCCTCCATCTTCATCTGTTGCTCCTCCACGTGATTCTGTACAAAACTCATGGCCAGCAGCTTGTCAAGAGCCTCGTCCAGGGAGGGCTCTGCTGCAGGGGGGGGGCGCTGTACAAAGAGTGGGACTGTGGGAGTGGACTCTATCAGCTGTCTGCTGGGGCTGGTGGAGGCCAGACGAGAGGGGACCATGACTGGAGAGACTGAGGATGGTGAAGATGTTTTTGGGGAAAAAGAAGGGGGAGAGAGAGAGAGAGGCATAGGGAAGGGTGAGGGTGTCTTTGGAGCAGAGAGAGGAGGGGTAAGGTTTTTCACAGGAGTCGGGGTGGAGTAATTCAAATCAAGATCTTGAAAAGAAGGAGACCCCCTGATTTCAGAAGCACAGGACCATTTACTGCAAGTATTTGAGGGCGAGACACGTTCTACAGACGGACTAGGGGACTTGGAGGACTTGTGGTCCAGGACGGTGTTAACCGAGGTCAGAGAGGGGGTGGTGGTGGCGTTAGAAGGACTCGGACTATTTCTCATCAGGTTAGAGTTACAGGAAGTGGACTGACAGAGGACAAGCAGAGACTTGGTCTGAGAGGAGAGCATGGTGGCAGAGACATCTATAACAGAGTCCAGGTCTGGCTCACTGGCTGCAGACAGTGAGGACACAGGACTGTGGGGAGGGAGACGGTTTGAGTGAGGCATCAATGTACCGTCTCCTCCGTCCTCATCTATGTGCAGCTCGAAACCAGCGGGCAGAGAGAAGAGAGGAGAGGCACAGGCAGATGGGTGGGACAGAGGAAGGGAAGGAGAGGCCGCTGGAAGGTGAGGAGAGCTGGGTCCTGTAGGGTCCAGCAGAGAGCCCAAAGAGGTGGGCTGGAGGACAGAGAAGCATAAGCAAGATAAAAGGGAAAGGACAGAGAAGTTATCAGGAAAAAGTCAGAGTGAGGATCATGTTTGTTTGACAAAGTGAAGCCTCTCTGCTGCTTGGTACCTTAAAGTCAGACAAAGAGGCCATCAGCTCGTCCAGCTCTCTCGTGGCACAGGAAGCTGACATCCTGGCCTGCTGCTGAGAGGGCGTGTCCAAATCACTGTGACGAGAGGAGGGGCTGGAAAAAACAATAATACTATTTATTATTATTGAAAACAAGGGAAACATCACTTAAAGCAGATATAATTATACATTTTCTAAGTTAAGGCCATTACACAACAAGTCCGTTTCCTTTTCATCCAAAACTGAAGCACGTTAAAAAATAAATACGACCTCATGTTGGGTCAATCATGTTTGCACATGATTGTATGTGCCAGCTGCTTTTCAGGATCAATTGCTTGGCCGAAATTGGAGGTGTTCTTTAAACATCCAGTGATTGGTGCAGTGTATCAAACTGCACCACTGAAATCCTCAAATACACCTGGGAGTGATCTGGATAATTTCCTTATCAACAGAGAAAACTCTCCTTTATAGACGGGTGAACGTCTCCTCACTCTTGTCTTGTTTTCAGCAGTGGACAGACAGTTTCTTTAAATTGAGTGAAAGAACCACAAAATCATCTTCCCTGCTTGATCACTCTGCATGATGAGTACGAGACATTTTGTCTCATATTGTGAATTTTCACAATTAATGGAAAATTCAACACAGCAAACTCAGTGTGCAAGGTGTCTGTGTATAACATTTTTTATTGGATCACGGATCTGAAAAACGCATCCCAAAATAACCTGACCTGGTGACCTTTACCACAAGGTAAATAACTTAAAATAAAAATCTCCAACAGGTGTTGTATTACCTCACAGCTCCTATAACAAATGCATTTTGACACTAAGCAGAAAAAAAAGCTATTCAATCATTAGTTTATGCATCAACTGGCCTGAGGTGTAAATGTAGGAATGTCGACAACATAAAGTTTCTTTCATTCTTTCAGTTTGTTTACAAACTTGAAACTTAAAACTATTGAAGTCAATGAGGAAACAACGTATAAAAGTGCAGCAATTATCTCCATATTTAAACAAATATCCTGTCTACCAGCCTTCTATTATGGCTTTAATCCCAGGCTTCAGGATTAGACATTAGGCACATTCTCATTTGGTCAGACCTCCTGCAGCAGAAGAACGTTTTTTCGATGTAAGACCTTTTGTTCCTCAGCTTCAGGGAACATTCATGGAAGTCTACACTGAGGATATACAGTCAGTCAAGTGAGAGAAACGATGCAGTGGACAGATTGTGTGTACCTGGGTGAAGGCACTGAGCCCTCCAGCTCGTCCAGCAGACTCTCCACGGTGGGTCGGGTGTCTTCAATCCTGGTTCCGTTTCTGTTGGGTGTCTCCTGAGCGGGAGGGCTCACCATGATGTCGGGGGCGCTGCCGTTCTCGTAGTGAGTGATGCTGCAGGAGGGTAAGGGTGGAGCTGCCTCCTCTGTGGACACAGAACTTTAAAATCTAATCCTGGTCACCACAAATACAATCCAGTAAACCTTAAGCTTTTCTTTTTGTACCTGTGGTGGGGAATGAAGGCGAGCTCTGCTGCACGGCGTTGAGCTCCAGAAGCAGCCTGTCGAGCTCTGACAGGTTACTCCCCAGAGCAGAAGTCATGGCTGCTGTCGACGAGTCGGATGATTTCTGTTTGTTTGGAAAACTGAAGAGGAGACAGGAATAGATGATGCTTTTTTACTGAGGTTTAACAAAAATTAATAACTTCTTACACACAATATATTAGTGTTTTACAGGATACCTGTAGACGTGGTCCTCTTCAATGTGAGACAACGGCGAGCTGCTGCTGTCCCTCGACCACGAGCTCTTGTGGGCTGAACCTAAAGACTGCAGAGGGGACAATAGTCAGACATACTGAGAAAAATGTCATTTTAAAATCCATTATGACCTAATGTAATGGTGTAAGACTTGACATCCCTGGATATTATCATAGAATATACATATAATACTTTGTCAAACATTTGATGCTGCTATGTTTTCATGGATCTCTTAAACCTCTTTCTTGCTGTGTCATTTTCTTCTTCTTGAACTTACCTGCTGAGAGGAGTGGATGGAGTCAGGCTGATCTATCAGGGATCCGTTCAGAGCCTCGGCTGAGGGTGGAGGAGGGACCGGAGGAGGGACTGACACATCCTGGTAGGAGTGTCCTCCGGTGGGGATGGAGTAAGGGGTCTCGTCAGACAGAAACACAGGCCGCTTTGAGATGTGGGACGTAGTGGATTCCAGGTCCGCCAGCAGCGCGTCTGAAAGATTCAAAGTTTCACTACATGTTATTTTGGTACTGGACAAATAAGAGTTTTTTTAAATCCTTTGATACTAGAGGTTTTACAATGCTGAGATCATTGGGAGTGACTCTTTTAATGCTATAAATCAATACCTTATTCAAAAACACTTTGAAACCGGACTTGTTTCTCATTATCAAAACATTCGCACAGCAGAATAAAATATCATGGCTGTCATAAGCAACTTCTGTTTTAGAGCTACAAAAAAAGAACTTCTTGCAGCTAAATGATCAGGTGAAAAAAGTAAAATAGCGTGCTACTGGCATAGACTGTATGGTTAAGCAAAGTTACCACAATGAGAGCAATCAGTGTTTTTCCATTACACATTTCAAGATTGCTTAATTTCAAACTCTTACATTAAGGTTGTTAAAATTGGCGTAAATCCAAAAGGAAGCAGTTTTATCTTGAAAAGCAGGATTTTTGCGATGTTAGTTTCTTTGTTTGGGGAATATCAAACATCGGTTGAACAACTGTATCAGCAGATGTCAGTCCTGTTGATGGACACTGGCTCTTTTGCCAAAATAATGTGACATCCACCAATGTGTATCTGTTGTATCCCATCAATTCAACGCTGATAGACTAGTATACCTAACGGCTGTTTCAGGGACGAGGTTTTAATTCATGATAAGTCACCTGTGATTTGTTTTCATGGTCAAATGTCAGCATTGGGGAGTCTTTACATCATCTCTGACAAAGATCTGTGTCATGCAGTTTGTATGACAAGCGATATCTCAAGAGAAGAGACTACTAGCAACAATTTGAATACATTAAATCTCAGAAAGCAGCTACATGTTTATGTCAAGCATCATATCGGTGTCAGCTGTGATATTCACAATCAGTGCATCCCTACTCTTTATTGTCGTTCAAGGGTATCCAAACATCTCTTCTTTCTTCTCTCCAAAACCTGACACAGGGATTCCTTGTGTTATCTGAGCAAATACACCCATCAGAGACTAACTCCTGGGCTTCTTTTGCAAGTTATTCAACCTGAAAACATGGTTGGACTGGAGCCCAATGAATTCTTTGCTGGGGTTACTGGGTGCTCTGAGGCGACTCCTGACTGTGGTGTCAGGCTGTAAACAGACAATGGCAGCGAGTCAGTCTCTCATTCTAGCCTGTCACCAAAAAAAGCTTTCTCCTCAGTACAGATCATCCAACAGTAAGACCACATGTTCAACACAGCATGTCACTGAGCCCATCTTCATACCATAACCCATCAGGCCTTCATGAAACATCTCTCTGAAATCCTCCACATACTTTGTCCATCAGTGGACACTATAAATACAACCCTGCTGACAATAAGAGATACCTGTCTGTGAGCTCAATCCATCATTTCAGTGTCTTATACCTCTGTGTAATAATGTTTGACTAGTCTCTGTTTTATGGGAATGAGCGTGAGCTTCACAAGACAAACCGATAGGGACAAAGACGCAGACGGACAAAGTGTTTCTGAATCCTGTCCAGGGTTGAGAGAGGGTACAGTGTTTCCCTGCTGAGTGTTCGCTGGAACGCAGGAACAAAATAGACTCTTACATCACATCGTCCATCCATCCACAGCCCGTCCAGAATAGACCACAGTTACCGGCTGCGTACTGTTACGCTACAGGGGGCTGGAACGGTTACAGCCTGTTTCAAGGAATCGCTTTTACAAGTGATACGACCAAAGAAGTAGCAGCAAAAACTGTCTGACTGGTACCTTCTGAAGGATAATCCATTCATGTAAGAAGTGCTGCTCTACATATTAAACCTGTTCTGTTTATATAGGTAGTGATATATTCTTATATTTATTGTAATATAACTAGAACTCTTGATGTCTTGAAAAAGAAAAAGAGTTTGACATCAGTTGAGTGATGATAAGTATTTGTTCACACAGTAGACTTTTTTCTCTCGTATTTATCACCTAACTTCTCCAAAAACTCCATTCTATAAACACATAAGTGTGTTACTTTCGCTATGAATCCTCAGCAACGGTAAAACAAGTTTTTAAGGATGTGGAGTTTGATCAAGTCTAACCACAAATAGTCAGAAAGACACCCTGAACCCTGAGAATCCTTTCACACTGAAGTAACCATAAAACACAAATAAACATATTTGGGGAATAATTGTCTCCCTCAGGCTTGGAACAAAGGAAGCTTCTCCCTTACCTATCTGTACCAACATCTACACACATATCAAACATCAGAGCATTCACATCAACATCCAAAACATGAAATAAAAAGGCAGGTCCCAGTTATCAAAACAACTAACTCGTATAAAAGTTTTTAAAAAAGCCAGTATCTGTACTCACGTTATTGTTTCCACCTGATATACTGGTAAATTCCTCCGTCACAAATATGTTTTATATGTGAGTCTGTGTGTTTGTAAATGTGTGTGAAGCAGACAGCAGTTCAGACAAAGATAGTGTGAGCCAAAAGGAGTGATAACATACTGCTGAACTGCTGAGGGGAGGGGTCTGAGGGCAATAATTGTGTGACGTATCCTTTCAATGGCTCTTTATCTTTATAAAAAAATGTCATGATTAACCTTTAATCTGCACTAAGAAGTAGAGCTTCTGGTTATACGGTTGTGACTTCTGTTGACTTGCAGCTTAAACTTGTAAACATGTATGTTTTTATGTTTAACTCAATACTTAGGACGAGGAGGTTAACAAGTATGATAAACTGAAGCCTCTTACAATCTCTTAACTTTCACTCGGCTATATCCTGCTACTACTCTTCATCAGACTCTTCATCCCAAAGGGCGATCCAGCCCAGAAGCTATGTGTTGAAGTCCTGAAGTTTGACATAAACCACATGGGAGCACGAGCCTATTTAAAGCGGGGAGCTCAGCCAGTGGCCCATGTCTGCGCAAATGTGCTGAAATATCATGACAAGCTCAAAATAATCTGCACCTGGTGCTGACATGCTAAACAAGGTCTGACTGAAGTTGACTTTGTTCCTCATAAAACAAAGCCTCAACATAGAAAAATACCACAACTGGTTTTCAGGATCAAGGTGAGTCACATTAAATACAGTGTCGGGTCTATATTCACTATCCGTGGCGGCTGACCTTAAAAGATGTCCAATAAAAAGGATTCATGTCCAAACACTTTCTAATTATGGTAATTTATTCCTAGAAAGTTTTTTGTGGCTTTGATAGAGAGGACAGCCGTACTGCCTGAGGTCCCCCAACACATTCAGATGCAGGAGCCAAGTCTGTAAGACCCCCTCTCTAATGATGTCTCGGCACTCTTCACACCCCTCCCACATGCTGATACCACACATCTGTGACTCAGGCTGAGGCCAGCGATATACAGTGGACATTTTTACACACTGATTTCATCTTTCAATAGAACTTCAGTGCCAAATGAATTATGCCTATTTTCTTTCTTTCTTTTTTTTTTGTTCATAGAAAATGTTTCAATCTCTGTTTTCTCAAGAATTAGGTATTGATAAAAGAAACAGGACGGTAAATCAATTGATTGGGCTGAAAACGTAGCAGCTACTTGTTTTTATTTGTGTTTTATTTACTAGGTGACACATAGTGATTTGTATCATTTTATTATTCTGACATGGAAAACTGGGTGGACACCCCGGCAGAAAGAGAACATAAAGTCATCTGATGTCATTTAGATAAAATGAGTATTGTTTTTATTATTCATTATTAGGTCAGTACAAATGAGGGCTGAAGGATATTGGGAAAAAAATGGCATTGAGACCTCTTTCTTTCTGTGATATATCTGGAAACTAAAAAATACAGGAAGTCATTCCAAATGAAATGCAATGAGTTCTCATAGCTAAAACAATTAACACTTGAATCATACAATCATAAATTAATTATTTTACTAGGTCCATTATTTAAACTTAGGGCTGCATGATATTGTTTAATTGTGTGATAAGAATATGAAGTGCAATAAATAACCAATATTTTATCAAATCTGTAGAAGCTTCAGCTAAAGCTGCAACATGTTTCAAAAGCTTTTTTTCACCACGAAATTGGCCCAAAGTCATCTGAAGGCAGCGGATAGCTTTAGCTTCATGTGACTGCATCCAAATGGTAAGACAGCATCACACAATACTCATCCATTCGTACAGTGTACACATGCTGAGTGAAAAAGCTTTGTTTGAAGTTCTTATTTATTGTGATAATCCTCACTTGTGTGATTTGTTCATAGTGAATGTTCATATTGTGCTAATAATACAATTGTGATTAATTGTGCGGCCCTACAACAAAGCTTTATACAAATCTACAAATAATAAAAGTGCCAAATATTGAAATATGATGCTGCTGGATTTGAACTGACTCAAGTGTTGTCACACTAGACGCAAGAAAAATGTGTTTCAGTAACTAAATCCCAAACCCAAAAGTCTCACCTTACATTATTTTGTAACTTTTAACTAAACTCTAAAATGCCAGAAACATGAATAAAAACATACAACATGATTGACAACAGCTCATAAAAACAGGTGAAATAAAATAGACGAGAGAGAGAGAGATGTTAAAATGATTGACTTTTGAAGAGTGTGTCTTAAGAGGGCACTGAGTTTGCTCACCTCAGATACAGAGCATCTCTTCGATACAGCAGCAGGTCATAAAAGAATAAAAAGATTACAGATGCTACAGAAAGTATCTTCCTTCATGTAACACAGGAGGGCAGTATTGAGTCTGGTCTGACAATAAATAACGAGCCTTCTTTACTCTCACTTTGGTCCGCTAAGAGTTAGGAGCATTACGAGTGCAAACATGCACTGAAGGCCAACTAACAGGCTAATCTTTTCCATTCCAGACAGGGGGTCGGAGCCACCATGGACAAAGTCCAATTCTGCTCTAACTTCATCCTGACTCAAAGGGCCATTGTGCGCGGTCTGGAGGAATAAAGCTGTCATCAGAGAGGATATGACTGGGACTAATAATTCAACATGAATTCATCAAACCTCAGTCAAACAAAACACAGATTCACTTTCACAGCGGCTGTCAGGGGG